CACCTTGCCCTTTGAACACTAGCCTTGTATAACGCGAAGTTTTGACACGCCCCCTTCTGCCACGATAAGTGGGCCTTACCACAGTTGCAACAAAGCACCGACTTCCTCGGGCAGTCTCTGGTCTGATGGGTGCCCGCGCACCCTCCACATTTCCTTGCCTTGTTGCAGGAAGCTTGGGTGTGCCCCCATTGGCTACAGTTGAAGCACTGCTTGACTTGTGCTCGGGGTGACCAGAGCTGGGCCGTGTAGAGCATTGAGTCCATTACAATGCCATTTCGGATCACTTCACGTTGTAGAGCCTCGGTCGGTAAGCTCGCAATAACTGACCCTCGAGTATGGCCATTTTCCTTCGCCCAGGTGTGTTCCTTCCCATCGTAGAGCCACCTCACCCTATTGATTTGTATTCCTGGAATCCGTGCTTTTGTCTCCGTCGTCATTTTAAATATTGCCACGCTGTTGTTGGCATTCTTTCCTCCGTGAATTATTGTCCCCAGTGGGACTCCCAAGATTTCAACAGGGTAATCCTGCTTTAGGACGCAGAACTCCTTGGGCTGCGCCATCCTCAAGGCAGCGTCTCTCAGGGAGACCGACTGCACGAACACCTCAGTATCGTTGCTCCTTAATTGCCTCATGGCGTATGCCCCATTTATGTGTAGTTTTGCCTTATTAAGCAGCTCTGCCGGCTGCATCTTGTTGGCTCCTTCTACTCGAATCCGTACTGCGGCTTTGATTGCTGGCGGCGCGACGATCGAGGCGTACGTGGGTCGACCTCCCATTATTTGCGCTGGTTGTGGTGCAGTCTTGCAGACCGGCTTATCGAGACTCTCCTTTACGACCTTCTCTAAGGCCAACATTCGATCTTCCATTGGGTTAGCCGTCAGCTTTGATCGAAACATCTTGGCGTGGGCTACGAAGGCATCAAGTACCTCATCTATCTCGACCATTGGCGTCGCAGATTTATCAGTTCCTGCAATCGCCAGTCTATCTCGGACCCTGTTTAAATAATAAGCCACTGTTTTTAGTTTCTCCAATTTCATGCCAGTAGAAGTCGCGATAGATTCTACAAGCATTATTGCGGCTGTTCCGCTATCCGTTGGTGGTGGTGGTGGTGCCGTGAAAATTTTTCCAGCCGTGAAATCCACCTTTCCTGTCCCCCAACTCGCCATGCCGAAGCGCAACGAAAAAAATTCGAGGAATAAGGTAAGAGTAATTGATTGAGATGAATGCAATAATTAAAACGATGATATAACGTTCGTGGAACGTGGTGCCGCTTTTGACCAAATGATGATGTTTTTTTCATTATTATTATTATTATTATTTGAATTTGATTTCATTGTCCTGATTTGGCGCCTTAAGGCCCATGCAGGTGACTATAAACCTAAACTATATATTTACATGAGGGGGAAACCTTTATGGTGAAAACCTCCCACACCTTTCTATTTGTTGTCTATAGTCCTCACATATTTTCTTCAGGAAGCGCAGTTACACTATATTGCCATCCATGTAAACTAACCAGATCATCTCTATCCTCCCCCAGCATTATTTGACCTTTTCCTTTCCCTCAGCAGTATTTCGACCGCTTTTGTCATCTGGAATTGCTCTATCCAACCATGGTTTAGGATCCACTGTGTTATCCTTTTTATATCTCCAGGATTATTTAACATCGCTTCATAGGATCGATCTTTGGCTTGTCTCCAGATCTCAGCTCTACCATTTGACCATTGGGGGCAGGACATAATCATGTGCTTTGGGTTCTGTGATTGGTAGCCGCATGGACAACCTGGACTTAATACTCCGGGTCGTTTCTTCTGTGTAAATACGAGTTAAGCCCCATGTGCTCACTTCGTATTTGCATTGCCAAACTGCTTTTGGCCCTTGTGAGGTTACGGTGTAGGAAGAATGGTGAGCCTTGAAAACTCAGTTTTTGCCGTCCAGACTCTCTACTTTGGTAAAATGTGGCTGCTCTCCAAGTTTCGGAATCTGCAGTTGCTAACCGCCGAGGCTTTTGAGTTTGTGTCTGCTTGGCCCAAGATTTCGCCCACTCTTGGTATGCCATAATTTTCACTATCTCTGTATGTGTCTTCTTGGATTGTTGTGCACCGCACATTCCCGTCCAGTTGGCAAGATCTATCCTCCTGTTAACTGTTCGTACATCTTCTCTCCCTTTTCTGGGCAGCTTTATTATTATTATTATTATTATTATTATTTTTGTGTATGCAGCTATCTAGCTATGACACATGACCAGTACTATGTATACATGTTGGATGACTCTTTTGACGTTAGAGACACTCAAACACTGGATTTCTTTCGCAAATACCACTATGAGGTATGCTTGCTTACACATACATTCGAACCTCCTCCGTTAGTACCCACCAAAGGGAATTGCGAAACCTTTGGTTATCTAAGCATGCCTTCGTCATCCATGCAAACAAGCGCCGCGAGAAATATGGTTGTATTTTGCCGCATTTGAACCAGCGATCTACTGTCTCGAGTGGGATATGTGTCCGAGCTATCCAGACTCTACTTGGCAGACCGGCCAAGACGATGTACCACCGCACCATCCAACCATGGCAGTGTTTATAGTGCCGCCTGTACTCTCGCAACCGAAGCCTTGGCACGCACAAAGCTCAATTTGTAAAAACTCATTTCCAATATTCAAAATTCCACGCCCGTCGAGACTGTATCCTTCCTTTGCATCATCTTGTAAGCTTGTCCTGATCCCTCTCACGTCCATCCCAGAGAACTGTCTCCCAGATTTGTGCGCCGCGCTTTGCTTCCTCCGTCGGGTATAAATATCGGCGTGGGCGTGTATATGGTGGTCAACTGAGACCAGAGAAGGTCGAAGAGAGGTGTGGTCATTGTGATGAGGATGAACTAGGTCGTACTTGTAGACTTGATAAGACTTAGGTAGGCGTCAAACTCGTTGGGAGCGGGAAAACGACGTGGTAGAGTAATTTTAAATTTTACTTCGTGGGCCAACTTCTTTGACATTGCGAAATTTGACTGAACTTGGCTCTGGGAGAATATTTCACTCCCAGGTTCGTAGAGGACACCACGTACAGGTGTTCAGTCTTGCCCTCCGTGATTATTATTTGCATCGGAATAAAAAGGGTGTGGCGTTTGGAGATCTTATATACCCTGTATTAGTAGTTCCATACTTGCTTGTAGATGAGCCTAGAAGTGGAACGTTGGTACGAGCTAGGCTGCAGCATTCTTAGGGAATGCTTAGACTGTAGTAACAATACACGTTTGTTTAACCCTATACTTTATCGAATCTACCCCCAGCCACACTGTTCTATCCTTCTAAAGGAATCATAATCTAATACCTAGCCTCTTTTGTACCGTCCAGGGCGCTGGGGAGTGCCGTTGACTCATGGATAGAAGAAGCCCTCCTGGCTAATTAGCCGAAATCTTAGGCCTGGCGCCCACAAACGTTCCAAAGTTGATAAACCCTCGAAAATGTCAGTCCCAGCATGGTCCTCAAAGACCTATTCCCCCTCTCGTTCCACATCTCAGCCGCCTGCCCTTCCTCAAGATGTACAACCTCATTAGAGAATTAGTCCCACATATACCAAGACCCCAACTTTGTATATTATGACTTCATTTCCTCCCTGCGGTTATACGTAGCGTCGTAAATTTGTAGTGAGTGATGGCCAGTGATGAATAGGGAAAGCTCCTGTTGGCAATCGGGGTGACGCCTTTATTGGTCGTCGAGTCGAGATGGTGTGTGGTTAGAAAAAGGTTGAGGACTCAGAAGATTATGGTGAGTGCTGCATGATTGAGAAGTCTTCAAATGGAGATATGCATCTGTTTGCTTTCGACTACGATTCGGTTGCGAATCTTCTTGGCTATCCCAGATATGCAGAGCATACTGAGCGATTACACCGGCACCACTGGAAGGTGAAGAATTCGTCTTTGCTGGCTGCTTCCCCTGTAAAATTGGTCATGTAAAAAGTCATGTAAGAATATACAAGAGAGTCATGAAGAGAAGGACAGGAACACAGCCATTAATGCGAAGATATTGGCAAGAATGAATTGCGATTAATTCCGGCTGGCAAATGCTTCTACTCTTGTATATAATAGTTCAGCGTGAGAGAGATTTACTCCTCACGCAACGTTTTCTTTACTTACCCTTTACAATACATTTGTTTACCCATCTCTTCTTCGGGAAGACCATATATCCATTGACCAGTTCTTCATCAGCAAGACCCACGTGTAACATCTACTGCAACTAGTTGCCCATTCATCTCTTCCTAGAGAAGACCTGTCACCACTTTGACCCATTTATAATCTTCACTTACCACCTAGATCTTCACTAGGCTATACAACGCACCCCGTGGAACACTATCAAACCCTCATCCTAGAGAGAAGGGCACTATAGTGTAACTGCGCGTCCTAAAGGATACATTATAAAAAACGTACAAATTAAGCAGGAAGGTTTGGGGGGTTTTCACCAAAAGGTTTCCTCCCATGTAAATTAGAAAGTATGATAGACACCTGCATGGGCCCATAAGGCTGATGCAAAAAAAAGGGCCTATATGGCACCAAATCAGGATAATGAAATCAAAATCAAATTATATCCGGAAAAACATGAATGAGGCTTAGGGCGCCAAATCAGGATTAGTGAATTAATTTAATAAAAACCAATACTATCCAATGCCTGCAACCAAAATATTGACGTCATGTATTTGCCTGTGCTGAATAGCATAGGCTTAATGTAACTTACTGGCTTGCGAACTATTATAAATCACACGATAACAATACGAATACACAGACTAGTTCCGGACCTAAATAACATCGCGTGCAAAGAACCTTCTCGATAGTAATTTTATTTATAAAGACTGGCCTGTAGATATTGAACATCTCATCTTCTTCAGCTCTGTTACACGGGATCGGAAAAGACTCATGCAAAAATAGGTGGAATTTTTAAAAAACATGAGATATAATCAATAAGTTATCTCGAAAATCTCTCAGAAATATAGAATTATTAAATTTTAAACATGAAACCTGAGCTAGATCCTAAGGATTCTAGTGATGAGTTTCCATGGCACCTTGGCGTTTTTGATGCTCATTGTCATCCCACAGACGATATGCATAGTACTTCTTTGATCACTGAGATGAAAACACGTGGGTTGACAGTCATGGCAACTAGAGGACACGACCAGGAGCTTGTTTCCCAGCTGGCTTCTATGTTTTCTATTTCGAGTGCCGCAGACTTGGGAGAATCAAGAACTGACTGCCGCATTGTCCCATGTTTCGGATGGCATCCATGGTTCTCGCACATGATTTATGATGATACAGAAGGCACTATTGATCCAGAAGCCGAAAATTTCAAACTTAGCCACTACCAATCGATCCTGGTACCAAAACCAGAGGATTACAAGTTTATTGATTCATTACCGACCCCTCGTTCATTGAGATACTTCATACAAGAAATAAGAAGCTACCTTGAAACTTATCCTGTCGCGCTCATCGGTGAGATTGGATTGGATAAGAGCTTCAGACTACCAACCCAGGCATCCTGTGAATCTCAATGTGAAGGGATAACCCCGGGAGGAAGAGAAGGTCGTCGTCTTACTCGCTATCATGTGCAAATTCATCACCAACGAGCTATTCTGAAGGCTCAGCTACACCTGGCCGGGGAAATGAAACGGCCTGTTTCAATTCACAGTGTTCAAGCACATGGTCTTGTTTATGATATACTTCACGAAACCTGGAAAAATTTTGAAAAAAAGTCCAACAAGAGAGTGAAAGCAAAATTGAGGAAGGATACATGTAGAGACATCTCTGAGACCTATAATACTTCAGAAGAAGACTCAATACTCTGTCCTTATCCTCCAAGGATCTGCCTTCATTCTTACTCAGGCTCATCAGAACTATTGAAACAGTACCTGCATCCCTCTGTCCCAGTAAAAATTTACTTTTCCTTTTCTTATCTTATCAATTCGCTGAGTCCAAAAGTTGTAGAAGTAATCAAGGCTATTCCAGAAAGCCGTATTCTAGTTGAAAGTGATTTTCATCGAGCTGGTGATGAAATGGATGAACTATTGGAAAAAATAAGTCGTTTAATATGCGAGGTTAAAGGCTGGCCGTTGCTTGAAGGAATAGCAAAGTTGGGTGAAAACTGGCAAAATTTTATTTTCTCATAAGTCTTATCTAGAGCACCTTCTTTCAGAATTTACACGCCAGATGGTTGATACCCTCTAGAACTTCAACATTACTTTTGCAAATATTGTGAACATGACTTGGAGATATCTACTTACGGCAGATGCAAGGGAGACTTCTCTCAACACCTGTCAATGGTGTCCCCCACGAACCTCCAGCTCTCACTGTAGAGTATACAGAGCCGAGATTGAGTTACACTGTCCTCACTTCGATGGGAATTTCTAATCGCTTTCGCCGTCTGTATCGTCTTCAACTCTCAACACTGTGACGGCTTCATCATCACTCATCGACAAGGGTGCCTCAGGTTCCTGTCGGCAATAGGTCTCCGTCCCGTTACTAAAGGCCGTGGCACTGCGCACGGACTCCAGGCTCGTAAACATTGTGAGAGCGTGTTTATTGTCCTAATGAGTCTATAACTATGTAACGACATGTAGGTCTTTTCTACCTACAGGCCAGGAGTATCTATGCCTCGGGTAGTATACTCCCTACTGTGCCTCTCTCACGGCTTCTTTCTAGCAGTAATACTCCCACAGGTTTTCATTCGAGTAAACGCTAAGGAGCCGTTATCGCGTGATTACCTCTCCTCTCTAGCCAACGAAACGATGGCCATTTGCGGGTGTGTAGCTGCTGGGAAAATTCTTAAAAAGCACTGGCTGCGGAGCTCTTCTAACACCAACATTAGGACTAAATCCGAAGACATGGTGATCCTTCTGATGCATTCGAAGAGGCTGGCTAGCTGGACGCTGCAGACTTGTGTGTACCTCGGGAAATTCACCCTCTGCCTTTCTAGCCTCCTTATAACTCCTTCCCGAAAGTCGTGTTGAAATGTCAGAAAAGTCTTGACAGTGCGTGATTGCTATACGGTAGCTTAGCCTGACTTCTTTTGTGCCATCCAGGGCGCTGAGGAGTGCCGTTGACTCATCGACAAAAGAAGCCCTGCTGGCTAATTAACCGAACTCTTGGTCTTGGCGCCCACAAAACAATCAAAGTTGAAAATCCCTCGGAAATGTCAGTCCCAGCATGCTCTTCAGAGACCTATTCCCCTCTCTCGCTCCACATCTCAGCCGCCTGTTCTTCCTCAAGTATTTTGTCCGATTAGAGCAACAGTCTCCCACATGCCAAGAGCCAGGCTTTGTATTTTTCGACTTGATTTCCACCTTGCGGTTATAAATAGCGTCATGAATATGTAGTGAGAGATGGCTGGAAATTAATGGAGCAAGCTTCTGTTTGCAATCGTAGCAACTCCTCTATTGGACGTCGAGGCGAGATGATGCGTGGTTAGAGAGAGGTTGAGGACTCAGATGAGAATGGTGAGTGCTGCATGATTGAGAAGTCGTTAAATAGAGATCTGCTTGAGGTTGCTTTTGAATTCGAATCTGATGCGATTCTTCTGGGTCATCCCAGATATGCACAGCAGACTGAGCGATTACACCGACACCACTGGAAGATGAAGAATTCGTCTTTGCCGGCGGTATCCTTATCTAGACTGGGCGAACCGGCACGTGAGGAGCCCACGTGCGGTGTCAGGGAATAACATTAATTATTATTATTATTGGAATTACTACGGTGTGGTTTTACGATCGATCGTAAAGGTTGAGAAAGAGTTAATAGTATTTTGTCTGTCTGTCTGTCTCGTCAGGGAGAGAGAGTTCCATCTCATAACCAAAGTGGGACCTAGCTAGCGTGTTCATAGCGAGCTCGTCATGTGATCCTCTATGATGACAAATCTATTTTAGTGGAGCTCTATGAACCGACAATTATAAATTGTAAAACTTAGAGAAGTCTTCGTGCGAATGTCACGTGAATCGTCAAAAGGTAGAAGCGAATACAAGAATGTATTGATTAATTGTCTCCGTGCTACGAGTCCATTGTAGCACTATAATATCTAGTTCTACCCTATCGATGCCCCTGATCATCATTACTAGTCTGACATGCCTGCACGCAGATCGTGCTTTCGCTTTCGGACTGGATCCAGACTTATGCAAGCACAAGTCTGCTTACATAAATGAATAAATAAATCCAGCTATTTTGGAAAGCGGCAGGTATATTTACTGATAAACAAACAGGCAGGGTCAAAATGAACTTCAAAGATACCCCCTTAAAAATCCACCGTAACCTAACCAGGGCCCAAAGCAGTGTCGCCATTCAGCTAAGGAGCGAGCATATCGGACTCAATTCTTACCTGAGCAGAAGAAAAGTACCCGGAGTAGAAAAGCCAAGCTGTCAATGTGGATATCCGTCGCAAAACGTAAAGCATATGGTGTTGGCGTGTCCGCAGTGGGAAAATGGAAGAAGCGACTTTCTCCGACGAACTAAAAGGGTCATTTGAAGCCATGATGAACAACCCAGAAGACATGGCCAGAATTACACAGTGGATACTAAACAAAGGGTGGATAAAACAGTTTCGACTGGCAGGAGAAGTCGAGGTAGCAATTTCGGATAAAGTAAATAGATCTGGAAGGGGAGAGGACGGAATCCATACTGGCTGAACAGTGTACACTGCACTTCCTTAAGGTAAACCAAATAAATTGATAGGAACATAAAAAGACAGGATCAGGGGGTTTTCACCAAATTGGTTTCCTCCTTTGTAAATAATGTAGATAGTCACCTGTATGGACTCATAGGGTGCCTGATCGGGTTAATTGAAATCAAATTCAAAATCTAGCTATTTCTAGATCTCAACAATCATAAGACAAGGAAGTGACAGGAAGGCAGCTCTAATGTAGACTTGAAAGATGTAGATAGCTATCAGAAGGGGGTATCTAGAGGCGGACAGGGACTATATGCTAACATGCAAGCACCAAATGCGCTCATGCTATCGTACCTAGGGTTAGGTTGAGGCGAGGCCATATTAACAACAGATTCTTTCAATCAGACATTGTCATATAGAGACATGATTCATTGATGAGTTGATATTGTTCAAACCATCATGACGATATCACAACGTCATGTATGGACATGATTCATCGTTTGTACTTGTTGTGTCAACCATGACTATGTCTCAGTGAAAAGAGAAATATCATTGACTAGTTACTAGAAATCTAGTCAAGATCCTAATCACACAACTAAGACTAGGAGAATTTTACTGAGTAAGTAATTATTCTGATGAATCTAGATCTAGAAGTAACCTGATTGCTTGGCTCGATTAGATTAGATTAGATTTTTATTATAGTCCTATCTGAGTCTACGACTATAGAGGACTTCTAGCTTCTAAATGAAAGAGACAAACAAATTTCGATAAATTCAACCATTTTAATTCCCAATATTTTCTTATAGATAGTGATGAACAAGTCCTGTATAGATTGCTTGGCTCGAGGTATATGAGCATGAGTATACCATGTATAATAAAATATATAGAAATCCGTCTCAATCACCAATAATAGCTGCAAATGACAGTTTTACAACTTCCTTATAGATATTCGTGATAAATATCTAGATTTAATGGGAAAAGAAAGAGTATCCAATATCGAGTGGCAATGGTTTCCAGCATCTTTTTTTTTTAAATCACTTAATATGTATCCAGCTATAGAGCTATGACACATGACCGGTTCTATATTTACATGTTGGATGACTCTTTTGACGTTAGAGACACTCAAACACTGGATTTCTTTCGCAAATACCACTATGAGGTATGCTTGCTTACACAAACATTCGAACCTCCTCCGTTAGTACCCACCAAAGGGAAATTCGAAACCTTTGGTTATCCAAGCATGCCTTCGTCATCCATGCATACCTGCGCCGCGAGGAAAGTGGCTATGGTTTTCCGGATTTGAACCAGCGATCTACTGTCTCGAGTGGGATATTTGTCCGAGCTATCCAGACTTTACTTTGCAGACCGGCCAAGACGATGTACCACTGCACCATCCAACTATGGTGGTATTTATAGTGTTGCTTGCACTCTCCCAACCGAAGCCCTCGCACGCACGTAGCTCAATTTGTAAATCTCCTTGCCAAAATTCAAAATTCCACGCCCGTTGAGACTGTATCCATCGTTCGCATCATCTTGTGAACTTGTCCTGTATCCTCTCACGTCCATCCCAAAGAACAGTCTCCCAGATTTGTGCGCCACGCTTTGCTTCCTCCGTCGGGTATAAATATCGGCGTGGGCGTGTATCTGGCGACCAGCTGAGGCCAGAGAAAGTCGATAGGAGTTGTGGTCATTGAAACGAGGATGTAATAGGTCGTACTTGTAGACTTGATGAAACTTAGTTGAGAATCGGACTCTTTGGGAGTGAAAGGTTGACATGGTAGAGTAATTTGAAAATTTACCTCGTGGGCCAACTTCTTTGATATTGCGAAATTTGACTGAACTTGGCTCTGGGAGAATATTTCACTCCCATGTTCGTAGAGGACACTGCGTACAGGTGTTCAGTCTTGCCCTCCGGTTTCCAGCACCATGTGTGTTACTTAAGAACAATCTTAACGAGAGGCGAACACGCAAAATATGTCAACGATCTTTCAAAGAACATAAGAGGCAAGAAGCACTGTATAAGGTATGGCCTGGGTTGGAAAGGAGCCCAATGCACTAGATAGTCTGTGATTCAAGTAATACAATAAAAACATCACATAACGAGAGGCGAAGAAAGGGAAATGATGTACAGATAACAAGTGATTTCTTTTCCTTTCATAATTGAGCAACATATTTCAATCCCTTATTAAGAAGATAAAAATACTATCTAGCTCAGAGTTGGATTAGTCGTCAAAGATGAATTCTTCTCTTTTCAGCGTTGCTGGTGTAATCGCTCTACATATGTGGGATAGCTAAGAAGGATCTCATCTGGATCGAAGACGAAAGTAAATATTATGTACCAAATTGGTGACTTCTCGTTGATGTCGGTCCTACCCTCCTCATGCAAGCCCTCAAACTCGAGTTTACCACAAACAATCTCGCCCCAACGATCAACGTAGGAGTCGCTTCCATTTCAGTTGGGAACTTGCCCCATTAATTATCGGCTATCTACTACTACGGAATAATGATGCTACGTATACCCGCAAGCAGGAAACTAAATAATAATATACAAAACTCAGGTCATGGCTTATGGCGGAACCTCACTCTAATAGAACTTCACAATTCGAGAAAGGAAATTCAGCTGGGACGTAGGACGAGCGAGTGAAGAGGTCACTAATCGGCAATCTCGCACTGTTATTTTTCCACGGGGTTCGACTTTGGGATACTTGTCGGCGCCAAGGCTAAGATTTTGAATTGTGCTACCGACACTTTAAATGTAGGACACACTACGTTTGCTTCAATGGATGAAGGTGTGAGAAAATGACATCGATCAACACAGCGACGTTTGGCGCAAGTCAAGGCCTCGACGTAGAAACCGATCTGTTGGTGTACAAAATCAGGGGGTTCAGGCGAGGTGCAGGGAGCCAGACCTCGTCATTGTATTTTTTTATGTTTGTTTCTTGTTCATATTGAATTATTCGTCTTGGTATTATTGAGTCATTTGGGATCAACTGCTCGTGTCATGTAAATTTTGATGCAGGGCTTCTGCCTAATACGTTAAAACAACAATCAATTAATTAGAATCTGGTTATCATCAGTCGAGAATAGCTCCTTCCCGGGAATATAAATATCTCCTTCGAGATCATACCTATCCTTAGAATTATCCAGCTCAGAGATATGCCTTTCTAAATTCCTGACCACGACCTCGTGTCTTGTGGGTATTCTAATCGTTGTGAGCATGTCTTCATGGGCCAGCTGATGTCAAGGACTGAGTTGACGAGTGGTATCATCACGGATATCAGAAAATAATGCTTGTTGAGGCTATTTCAGGAACAAGCCTGTTGGAAGTGTAAGGTTGATATATTAGGAGTTGAAGCAATGCCTTGTTAGCCAATATCTTTGTATTACTAAATTTTACCCAAACTGGGCACTGGGATAATATTTCACACCCAGTTTCGCAATGGGCGTCACTGACAGACATTCAGTCTTCATAATTAGCGTAGGTGTCTTGTGGCTTCAACTAATTAACAATTAGGTGTGAGTAAAATTTGAGATTGAAAAATACGTGATGTCTTTGTTGTTAACTAAGCTGTATCCACAAGGTGAAATAGCTCCAATCAACATCTATCCGACATTATCCCACACTTGTGCCGAAACCCGTCAGTGGAGAGTGGGATACTAGATGTGGCCCCTCGGCCTCACTTAAATATTTTTATTACACATCCGCAAGGACTTCAAACGAATTATCATATTCTCATCATTTATCTGCGAGCTTTGAGCCATGCAGACACCAGCGTAATACGAAGAGCAGGTGCAGCTACTACACAATTCCGCATACACACAGTACATTATTCGACCCTACCCCCCGGCGGCCAATGGCGGTGCTGTATCCTCTTTGTCAGTATGCACTCGTTCTCCCACTACTCGCTCTAGCCTCATTACCAACCATACTGCTTGCAACAATTACGACTATTCTTTCGATTGTGATACTACTTCTTATCACCATTTTTCTCTACATCAACCTCGCCTTGGCTGTAGTGCCCCAGTGTTTACTTGAACGCCATTCTAGCACAGCTACTCCTCGCCCATCTCTCCGACATGGGGAGTCTTCAACTCACTCATGTAACAGTCAGAATAAGAAACGGAATTGCTCCCGCTCCATCACCTCGACTAGTCCACCTCATAACTTAGGCTTGTGTTTAGGCCTTGACGCTTCACGCGATTACGAAGGCGTTGGGGGGTGGGAACTATCCCGAGCTCAGAACGAGCGTGCGGACTGTGATTTACCATGGATGCAGGCCATGCCATCTCTAGAGCTCCCTGGAGACTATGTCCGACGACATCATAGAAACTCCAAGATAGACTCAACGGATAGTGAACATAGAGTATCTACTCCAAGTAATCAAAGATTTTGATGCAGATTATACGCTATACACAGCAGTAAAGCCTAGTGTTTTCTTCCATGCCGGGTTGCCGAAAGCTCACAAGATTTCAAGAAAGGTTCTATGTATTTGTTTAATACGTCGGTCACACTACGACCCGTCACTTATACGCAAGTCGGGTGGCGTAGTAAACATGTAATCATGAATCCTATGACTTCATGAATACGGTTGGGACAGTCTCATCCAAGCGGCGAAGCGAATAGAATGAAAATTTGACAAAAGTGGCCTCACGAGTCTATATGTATCGTCTTACTTTAGTGCGATAGTCGTTCACAGTTTCCTTCCTAGCAGATCCGAATCAAATGTAGCCATTGATATTCCATTGAGAGAATCGTCGCAGGGCTAATTTATTTGAGCTGCCATGTGTGTCCACGCAAAAAAGAGGTGTGTGGGGATAATTTATCGTCTGATGTGAGCCAGACTAGCATCCCGTAGGGATATAGGACGTGTGAAGAATATCTAGAATACATGATCCTCCAAGCTACAGCTGTGCCTAACCAACGCCCGAAATTTACCAACACTTGTGATTGAGCCAGCTAGATACATCAGATTTAACGGGTTGGGCCAAGATATAAGGTCTCATCTAATTTACAACCTTATGTATTGGAGTAATCATGTGATCATCTAGTCACTTAATGTCTTTTGGACTTGGACCCCATTTCAGCTTAGAATCATAACTCTTCCTGTGTCTCAGTTCAGGCCAAGGTAATTATACAGCTATCAGCTTTCACAAATACTTGCACATGTACAAGAAAGAAGTTAAAAAAAAGACGCAGGAAACACACTAGTCGTATTTTTATAGGTTTTTGTTCTTGAAAATTTAAGGTCAAATTTTCCTTAAACATAGCTGAGTACCAAATTGGCCTAAATGCACGATTAAAAGTTTATATCAAACGAAGGGTGTTGATATGACAAATGTCATACACTAAAATTCTATTAGTTCACTTATTGTTGTGAGAGTACTCGTATAAGTTTTTCGAACTATCGCTTAGAAGGGATGTGCATTCATGGTTTTTCGTGTTCTTGTAAGTTGATGCTATGGAATTGCTATCTAGCTTACATTCGGATAATGCTTCATCCGAATGTCAGAATCTACAAATAAAGACAACTAGCCAGCGCGATGCAAGATCCACCAACTCCAAATAACTCCAGCTAGATGAATCATTCCTACAAAGGGATAAAGATTTAAAATATTAATCATCTATATATAACAGCTGCCTGAGGTGGTGTAATGATGATCATCATTAAATGACTGTTCTTCCTGTATTCGCAGTTAAATTGACTGCCACAGAAGGTTTGCGTAGAAGAACCTCGAAAACTTTTGGTCCAAGTTAACTATATGTACATCGCCTTTCCTTACATTTCGTATTACTGCCTTAATGTGACCACTGTCGGAGTCGTGGTCTATTTCAATACCTAGTCCGCGATATACCTTGAGTTTCAAGGTAATTTCATCTTGAATTAGATCTCTCCGTATATGCTCTCCCTCTACACCTTGACGTTCTAAATCCTGTAGTCGTATTTGCTGATCGGTCAACTGTGAAGTAAGTCTCTCGCATTCAATTTCTAAGTCACTGGCTGCCTTGGCACACCTGAACTTCTGGCTGTCTAGCGCTGCAATCTCAGAAGCATGGGCAGCGACGGAATGGGACGAAACGGTTTCAGAGTAATTATTTTTGAGGGTCGTGAGAGTACGGCTGAGCTCTGTATCTAGTAAGTCCTAAACTTTAATATAATGGTTTAAGATGTACTGTTTAATGCACTTTGAGATTCCCGAATGCGGAGGTCTCGCGCTTGCTGAAGAGTTGAAAGGGACTCGTGAATGCGGGAAATGGCGAGTTTATCTGGCTGGATATTAAAATTTCCAACGGTATGCTGAATAAGCTGTGACTATTTAGAAGAATGATCAATTCATTACTCATGAGAAACGTACAGTTGCGGGATCTTCATCGAGCAGCATTATTAAGAAGGCGATACCAGGAACTTGAAACCTTTCTTCTCAAGCCAAATAATTTTAGACTGCGAGCTAGTAGCCTGAGCAACAATGAGTCGACACACTTGCGTCATTGCTCACTATCTTTAAATAGAACAGCCGACGCCGGCGATTCATATATCCATATTCGCAGCGGACTCTATTGTCCAACTGCCACAATCTTCTCCAATTTTTAAATTATATCAAACGATTATACCGAAAGGATGGGATCATCTCTCCCATGTGCGTTCAATCCCTAAACTTTTGAAAGCTAAGCCTCTTAATCATTTTAATCCCTTTTTAGCGTTTTTATCCGCTGACGAACCATGATCACGTAGATGCAGCTGATGCAGAAAGGTCAGTTTGAGAAAATAATCTACCCTTTGTGAACGTCCACTATTGATCTCCTACTAACGTAGAGACATAGCTCCCTAAAGCCAGCCGAACTTCAAGTACTTCGATCGCAATATGAGAAGGAGGGCGACTACGTCAGCATACAGACCAAATTTAATTTTGCATGGGTTAGTTACGAGGATTTAAAAATCTCTTTCAACGGCGGCGGGTTTTCTGACTTTGTTCTAACCCAGGGATTAATCAAATCGAATTTTCGTCAAGAGCAACAAGAAGGCGTGCGGCTTCTAACGGAGATTTTTCGGACAACACCTGAAAGAAGAAGAGAGTGTTTGTATTATTTGGCATTGGGGAACTACAAACTTGGAAATTATGCAGAAGCACGAAGATATAATGACAAGTTATTGGAGAAGGAGTCAGGCAATCTACAGGCTAGTAGTTTGAAAGAACTCATTGATGAAAAAGTAGCGAGAGAAGGCATGATAGGCGTTGCGATTCTTGGTAGCGTTGCCGTTGTCGCCGGAGTAGTGGGTGGAATGATTGTGAAAGGTGTCTCCCGGAAGAAATGATTCAATATGGCACTAAGTCTACTATGTGGGGTTTAATGTTAGAATTTACAACGAATAATTGTTGGCAAATGATTGCAGTGAGCGCAAGGAGGTTGTTTAGTTTCTACATGAGCATCGAACGCTTACGATTTAATTGGTCGGTTTAATATAACCAGGATACTCGTATATTTCCCAAGGTACTGACGTGATGACTTTTAATTAGGTAATAAGAAGAGCGGAGAACGGATTCGAAGATCATGTACGAATTCCTCAATTTCATCCGTTCCAACAGACCGCTCGATGCTACATGCTTGTGCGTAAACTTCGCCCTGTTGTTCATGACAGTAAAGAGGAAAGTCCGAGGATGTGTTACAGCCCACGTTCAAGTAAAACAAACACCTCCACATGATCAGATTTCTCGATAAGATCTGTGATACGCTAAGGCTGATCTCCGAATTGATTCCTAAGACAGCGCATGTAAACTGACAACTTATGAATGGTTAGCCTCAAACTACAACTTAAATCCAACATATCTCAAGCTCTAATAGGTTCTGATACAGAGGATTGAGAGTCACCTCACCTTAAAACCCATCGCTTAAAAGAGATAACCCTGCGCCCTAGGCCTACTTCACGCTGGCTTTTAGGGCGCTTCGAAATACGGGCCTGGCTCTAAGTCTCGGTATAACCGCTCTAGCTGCTTATAGCGGACTTCGAGACGCCATGGCATACCGCTCTTCCGATATACGTAACCGTAGGCAGCAACACCTCGATACTACCAGCTCCAGAGATGTAGTTTACTGTCATCAGTGTGCACATGAGTGGTACTGGGATGAGAACGAATTAATATGCCCTCAATGTGAAAGTGGAATAACTGAGATTGTAAGAAAACTCACTCATATAATATCGCAACTAAAGCTGTGGCTCTAACTATCATATAGGTGACGCCTGGTGAAGATGACCCGAGATACATTTCTACCTCAACATCACAATCTCAATTACCACCTTCGAATCCTAATCATGGTTCCTGGCCTCAAGAAACTTCGGACCCAGATGAGCCTGATATAGAGGAACATATTTCTCATGGACCAAATGGTAGCTTAATGTTCTCTCGCACAGTGAGAACCTTCAATCCACGTAGTCAGGCTGAGGCACGATCCAGTAGAGAAGGCACGGCTGAAGTTGACACCGACAATGTACTTGCTGAATTCCGTAGTATGATCACTAATCTGATTGGACCCCAACTCCGCAACAATACTTCAGGCAGATCAGAATCTGAAGACACATCAAATGAGCCAAGATTCCATGCTAGTAGCTTCCGGTTGAGCGGAAATAGAAGCGGACAGGCCATCGTGGGCGGTCGCATTGCATTCGCAGACATTTTTTCTAATGATTCAACGCACCCTAGAGATGCCAATGAGCCTCGAAACGAAGTTCCTAGAGTCGAAAACATTACAACGTAAGTTTTCACCTCGCATAGCCTCATTTTTATCACTTTCCATGATGGTAGGGTTCAAAAAGTAACATCATGATCAGTGTAATCGGAAACATATTAGGGTCATCAGGCGCAGACGCTAGACTTTCTCCACGGGATCATAATGAAACTGAATCTCACGGTCTGCAAGCTCTTTTATCCGCCATATTTCTACCCATAAATGTCCGCCCAGGTGATGTGGTACATTCTCAGGAAGCCCTAGATCAAATTATTTCGGCGCTCATGGATCAATCTCCTACCTCGAATGCACCCGGACCCGCATCGCAAGAAGCAATAACTGCCTTACCAAAGAAAATACTCGACGAAAAGATGTTAGGTCCTGAAGCCAAAGGAGAATGCAGCATATGTATGGATGATGTCAAGGTTGGAGATGAAGTGATGGTTCTTCCTTGCAATCATTGGTTTGATGAAGCCTGTGTTCGTGCTTGGCTCAGCGAACATAATACATGTCCCATATGTCGGAAGGGGATCACTGATAGTGCTGACACCTCCGAATCTACTAATCCTCGGCGAGAGAGTAATACTAGCTCATCCAGGTCTCGAAATGAACACCGAATTCAAAGATTAAATTTCACACGCCCAAGGATATCACGGGATACTACCACAAGAAATGAAGATAGACTAAATTTCTTACGAAACGCAGCACGCTTGAGTCCGATCGATGGGAGTAATAGGCAGCCGTTATCACCATCAAATCAAGCCTCGGATACGGGTAACACTTCTGAATATACATCTCATAGAGTCTCGGATACGGAAGATGGAAGTGATCGCAGGCGTCCAGAAAGGCCCAGCGGATCGAGAAGACGCGCAACTTCTGGAAATAGTGGTGGAGGCTCAAGTAGTGCCTTAGATCGCCTCCGTGGCCTTCATGATCGATTTAGTAATGGTCGACGAAGCGGATAATTTTACATACAAGCTCATGTAATTATTTTTTGCAACTTTGGTGTCTATTTGACGTGAGTGACGTTTTAAATTACAGGTCGCGACTTATAATATCGTAAAACGGATTCTCGGGGCAACAATCCGTTAAGGTTATGCAAGAGTTATTGGTTCTAGAAATAGTCTCTCCAATTACTCTCATTCCCTTTCGAACTTGATTTGTGACACAGTATAAACATATCAGCCACACTGGTAGGATTCAGTAGCAGCTTAGACCCGTTTTGACTGTTTTTACTGCTCAGAACAGCTATAGCCCATCCTTGAGTCTCAGCAATATAGTTGCTATCTCAATGACCATCCTTCGCCGGCTAAAAATAATTTTCGAAGGCCTTTTCACCATTCCTACGCGCAGATATGTTGTTTAAGAGATGGGATTTCACAAATTTTTGCTGGAGCTGACTCTAAATACATTACCAGTACTTAGAAAGGGACTAAGTGCCACACTTAAATGATCTGTAACCCATCATCTGAATTAGTTGCGGAAGCGGTAGAAAGGTTCTTATCCCTTTCAACTGGGCCCAGAAGCAGATCTATTAGTATTGTTTGTGTGAAAGGCTACGGCAAGATGAAGGAAGGATATGACTTCCGAATACTGTGTATTTTTCACTGCAAAGGAAAATAACCATTCCTAGGGGAATCGTCCTGTTATATCTCATAACCATCGGTAAAGTCTATACGCTTGACGTCAGACGACCCCGGTAGAAGATCATGAGGTTAGCTCCTCAAGTAGTCCACGCTCAACCAGCATGGGCCCTAATTCCTTGCCTAGACCTTGTAGACTAGGGCAAGAAGTCGTTAGTCTACTATACATCCTGCCTTTTCCTTACTAAGGCCAGACGCATCCCGTAACAGCGTGCGCAAGTAGTGCCCGGGCCTACATTCATCCGGGAATATTTTATCGCTTACCAATCACGTTCAGTAGTACTGTTTCACGATAGAACGAATACCTCGTCCGGAGGGCAAGACTGAACACCTGTACGCGGTGTCCTCTACGAACCTGGGAGTGAAATATTCTCCCAGAGCCAAGTTCAGTCAAATTTCGCAAAATCAAAGAAGTTGGCCCACGAGGCAAAATTTCAAATTACTCTACCATGTCAATCTTTCACTCCCAAAGAGTCCGATTCTCAACTAAGTTTCATCAAGTCTACAAGTACGACCTATTACATCCTCGTTTCAATGACCACAACTCCTATCGACTTTCTCTGGCCTCAGCATGTCACCGAATACACGCCCACGCCGATATTTACACCCGACGGAGGAAGCAAAGCGTGGCGCACAAATCTGGGAGACTGTTCTTTGGGATGGACGTGAAAGGGATCAGGACAAGTTTACTAGATGATGCAAAAGAGGGATACGTTTTCGACGGGCGTGAAATTTTGAGTTTTGGCAAGAGTTTTACGAATTGAGCTTTGTGCGCGCCAAGACTTCGCTTGCGAGAGTGCAGCTGTCACTAAAAATACAAGCAAACGATAGAAGGTGTTGTGATCCGCCTCCTGGTGATGTTCTCTGGTATGGTTTGAGTAGCCTGGGCATCTACTCCACTTGGGAAGGAGACATCTCAGATCATATTTCGCGCGGAGAAAAGCTGAATGATGATGGAGGCATGTCTGGATAACTCAGGGTTTTTGAGACGTTCCCTCGGGTGGGTATTCACGGATGAGGATTGACTTGGGGTGAAGAAAAAGCCGCCATAACTTCGCAGTGGTACTTGCAAATGAAATCTGAGGCATGAGTGCTCCTCTTGTAGATTGATTCATCTTTTCTGTACGTTTCTTTGATATTGTGTCATAGCTAGATAGCTGCATACGCAATTAAAATCTGATGTAAAAAAAAATACCTCGTCCTCTTCAGATCCAACGCGAAAGCTCTGGGCGATCTCTAGTTAAAGCCCGCCTCAATATTGAATCACCAAAAATTTATCGGAGACACTCCATGACTTAATTCCAAAGGACAATTTGTCATGAAGATTGGACAATAATTCTATGCGAATGAGAAAATCCTCGAATATGTATTCATAGTACTAGAGGGGCTAGGCAACATCCAATCATATCCACATGAATTATGAACAACCTCGCTGACATCTTATACCGCACGATAAATGACGCAAGCAAGGCCACTGGGCGACTTGAGGGTGGATAAATGCCAGTGTGAGATCCCCGGGTACTACGAGAGCAAGATGGATTTCGGCCTACGGTGTTGTTGTTGTTGTTTTATTCAAGTCCTAAGCTAAAGCTCCAAATCCACTATGAGTACAGGACCGGTGTTCACAGTCAGGACTACATCTAAGACATACCCAGCTTGATTCCACCGCATAAACCACCACAAAACCAGCAGTAAGTTAAAAATATGCGCCGACGTAAACTCCTTTTCCCAAAATTAACAAAAGAAAAAGATAAATTGCAAATAATTTAGAATGGGAAGCAATACTCCTCGCCTCGATTCCCATTTTGTCAGGTTTAGTTTCCTGACGAGTTATATTCGATCTCCACTGAGAGTAGGAGATGGATGTACAGGAGAATACCCAAAATAATTGGTATCCTGCGCAAATTGTTTGAAGCTCTCGAAGCACTTAGGCCCGAGTAGCTTGTGTAAGAAGGCATTGTGTGACAATGACCCTCTGATTCGACGCGTGATGTTTGCGTTGAGTCGACAATGTATGAAGTGGGTAGGGGTGGTTTCCTCCCCACAGATGCACTCTGTAATAGCGTGCGGATTGTTGAAGCGACGATGGTACGCCGCGAAATTGCCGTGGCCCGTACGGGCTGCAATGAGATGTCGTAACTGTAGCCTGGAAAGCGCCAGTTCTGGTGGTTTACGACGGCGCATGAGCAGATCTAGCTCACGATACCGTGACGGGCAAGTTTCATTCCACCAGCTGTCGAGCAAAGTCTGTCGCTGTCGATGCAATTTTTGGTGTAAAAATGCTGTCGTGGTGGTTGCTGGCTCAGTTTCCACGCTGGGAAGCGTTCGTAGGGCGGATTTGGCCGCTGCATCTGCTTCCTCATTTCCATGTATTCCTGAGTGTCCTGCTACCCACGTTATTCTTACCTGAGCTAGCCCAGACAATTCGCGAAACTTTCGTACTTCCTTGTGGCTGGTCGAGGACCTGCCCGTGCTCAGTGCATTTATCGCATGTCGACTATCCATAAACACATTAATGCACTGCGTCGTTCCCTTCGCCAGGTACTCCTTCCCTCTTAGGTGACCCAACGCTGCTTTAAGAGCTTCCTGTGCCCCCATAATCTCTGCATCTAAAGCCTCTCCACCGTGCTTTATGCCACTTCCTTTTTGAAAAGTTTTCCCATCCAGCTTTAGGACAAACCCCCAAGCTGAGCGTCCCTTTCTCTCCGATGCTCCGTCCGAGTAAGCACAAATTTCTGACTTTGACACATTAGTGATCCAAAGTTTACAGGCTTCTACTTGGTCTTTTCTCGAACCAACCTTCGAACCCGGCCGCGATTGATAAAATGGTGGGGCAAGAGGTTCCGCGGCCTCTGCCTCTGGTAGCTGTCTATAAGCACGCTGAGCCCGTGACATTTGAATTTCAGGACGCGCAGATTTTCGATTGTGCTTTTTATATTTTCGCGTACCGACATTTGGGCAAACTGCAGCACGGATCCTGAGCGGATGGCGGTCGTCAAGTGTTTGCATTCTGGCAGAGAGGCGAAGTCGGTTTCCTTCGAGAATTATTTTCCCGGTTGGTATTCCTCCTTCCCTATGTAGTACAGCGTTGGGTGTTGTCCTCATCACCGGTAGTGCTGACCTAAGACCCATTAAGACAGCCTTATCAATCATACTACATAGGCCAGCAGTGGGCGGTGTCACCATCCCTCGTATTGTTGGGCGTCTAAGGCCAGGCCACCAGACGTCAGCTCCGTACGTTGCGATTGGGACAATACATGTGTCGATCGCTTTAACCAACGCCCCAGGAGCGGCTCCTCGGTAGGCTGTATTGAAGCGACGCATGTGCTGTGCAATTTTCAACGCTTTGCCACACCAGGTTGTGACGTGGTGTTTGAAGTTAAGTCGAGGATCGAGGTACACACCAAGCCAGCGGACATTTTGCGACGGCTCTATGAGAGTTCCGTTGACATAAATTCCAACCGATGTTTCGCGGTATCGTCCGGGGAATTGTACGACTTCGGACTTGTCTGTATCGAAAGCGACGGCATTATTTCGAGCCCAGTCTAGTAGGTTATTGACCTCGTCCTGTGCTGCGGCTGCAGACTCTGCAATCGTCCGGCCAAATCCAAGGATACCAATATCGTCGGCGTAGCTAAACCTAAGACCCGGGGTTCTACTTCGCATGGGCTCTGCCATATATAGAAGGAAGAGAAGTGGCGAGATCGGTGAGCCCTGTGGAACTCCGCACACAAGCTCTCTCTTGGCAGTGACTCCCCCAGAGTATCGCACTTGAACCGTCCGATTGGCGAGGAAGGAGCTAATCCATTTGAGAATAGACTCCGGCCATCCCTGCTCTTGCATCCTCCTTACTAATCGATTATGGAGTACCGCGTCGAATGCTCCTTGAACGTCCAACGTTACAAAAGTAGCTGCCCATCCTTGTGAATTTGCCTCTTCGATGTCGTGGACCACACATGAGACCAGATCCGTTGCTGAGCGCTTCGGCAGTGCACCAAACTGTTGCTGGCCGACTACATCATGGATAACTGCAAGGTGTGCCATCCGCTTAGCTAAGAGCCTTTCTAACCCTTTTCCCAAGCATGAGAGAAGAGCGATTGGTCTCCAACCCTTGATTGTCGTTGGGTCTCTATCGTTCTTTTGAAGGAGGACCACCTCGGCTAATTTGAAACAATTTGGATGGGTGCCAAGTAGAATGCAAGCTCGGAACAGTTGGGGAATCCAAGGCCCGATTGTATTCCAACACGCCTCCAGCAGGTTTACGGAGACTCCGTCTGCTCCTGGGGCCGTATTTCCGCAGCCAATAGTACAGGCTCGGACCT